AGACGTTTTACTCAGAATTATTGAAATGTTCTCATAAACTTTACTACCGTCTGTTGTTTCTTTGGGGGAAATCAACCCATTCAAATCCATTATAAATGCATGTTTTGATTCTATTCATCATAAAATATGTTTCCAGCCGTGTTTTCTACCGTTTCCCCCTAACTTTAGATTTTATTCAACCTTTATTTATGCCGGTAGTCTCACTGGGTCCCGAGGACTCGTTTACAGGAGAGACCTGTTTGTTCTGCTCATCTCAGCTCACTAGGCGGTTCTGATTCAACAAAACCGCTTCAGTTCCCACGTAAAGAGCAGGAACACGCATGCGCTGTGCACGAGTAAACACGTGGTACAAAACAGTTGATCCACGTGCACGCAGACTGAACAAGCGTCATAGCAACGCGTCGTCATCATTATGTGCACGAGGTCCCCCTCCATGCCTGGGACCAGAACATCCACCATGTTGCCCAGGTGAATAAAAGCCTGAACGACCCTCAGGAGGGAGAGTGATTTGGAAGTGAGTTCAGCTCACGTAAACAAACCCGCTCCGTTTTAAAGCTTGAAACATCTTTTGCACTTTAGGTTTAGCAAGTTTCTTGAATGAAAAACAAAAGGTTCGTGTTTTTTAATCTTATAGAAACAGGAAGTGCCGTCTTCTCTACATCAATCAGCTGTTAGCCTCCTCAACGTGCATTAAACTTTCAATAAAGTGAGACAGACGCAGAAAAACTGGTAAAAATGGCTTCATTTTATTTTAAAAGGCACAAAACAGGCCGTTTCTAAAAAACTCCGTATTGCCTGTCCACATGGATTCAACAGAAACAAGATTTTTTTTCCCTGTCTGTTTTTATTTACCAAACCTTGTGTTTCTGTGGTGACGGGACGTCCAAACAGATGGAAATGTCCGTTTTAAATCAATTGAAGTTTAACAGACGAGCTCCAATCGGAGGCGAATAAAAAAAATAACACACGTTTTTAATTTGTGTTTTAAAGCCGGAGCTACGACTCCTGTCTCACTGTATATTCACAAACGTTTCCCATCAAACTCGACTTCTCGCTCTTTTTGAAATCACATAAACAAAACAAACGTTTTTTTAATATGGTTGTAAATAATGTTCCCATATCTGCGTTGACGAGGAAACGAAGCTCCTTTGAGAAACGTTTTCTGAACATCAGTTTGTGTTTTTGTACTTAAGGAGAAGTATTTCCTGCCTCGGCGTGTACGGCGGAGAAGCTTGTGGTTTTCCTCCAGCTGAGTTCAGGCGTTTTGCTCAAACGTGCTCGTTTTGTTTTCTGTGTGGCGGCCGAGGTCTTTGCATTCTCCGAGTGTGCTGTGTGTACATTTACGCTTGTCTGAGTTTTTATTTCGTTCTTCTGCTCCATCAGACGTGTCGGACGATCGTCAGAAGAAAACACAAACCAAAATAAATGAAAGAAATGGAGCTCAGGGTTGGGGAGAGTTGCATTTGATTTACTCCTAAATTATGAAACTACAACTCTGTCGTAGTTTGCAGAATTAACAGAACTTGTTTTCCAATGATCCAAACGCCGTTCTGCTGATCCGATGGTTCCCCGCTGCGCTCTTCTTTTTCTGACAACACAATCGCTTTTTATGTTTCCATTCGATCAAAAACTGCCGTTCATGGAGTGATTTTCAAAGATGCCAAAATAAAAAGGAGTTTGAAGTGATCGTGAGAGTCGCTGGATTCTTTCTGAGGAACAATCAGTTCAGCAGCGTGATCAATACGTGGGACTTAAAAAACTGAATCTCACCGGAGAGAAAAGGATCAGGAAATACTTTTTTAGCTTAAAGTCCGACTGAACTCAAGTACAAATACGTTTAATTATCAGTCACATCACATGTGGTACATGAGGTGGAATTAAATTATGTACAGAGTCCCAGTCACATCCAACAATAACAACAATATAAATTGTAAAAAGAAACGGTAAATAAGGGTCTAAGATATAAACTGAACTAAGAATACGTTGAACACTGATAGTACAAAACAGCATCAGCACCAACGAGTGCAAACGGTTCGAACATTACAAACGAGCGTGGTACGAATTTGTACCGCCACTAGAAAATGTTTAGCCTTATCTTTTCTGTCGAAGGTCATTCAAGGTCATGCATGATATAAATGGCTGCAGATCAGTTTGAAGACGAGCGTATAATGTGCCGTATCTTGTTTCTTTGGATGTCGTGTTTTCACGGCAACATTCTGCGACCGTCGCCCGCTAAAGGAAGGCAATGCTAACTACCGTTAGCATGGGACAAACTGGCTAAATTAGCTAACTACTAGCAAATGTGTCATTGGCTAATGGCTAAATGCAAATAAGCAGCATAGGTCGCCACAGTGGAGCAGTGATTAGTGATGTCACTTTCCCAGCAAGAAGGTTGCAGGTTCGCTTCCCGATCTTTCAGCTTGGAGTTTGCATGTTCTCTCCGTGCATGTGTGGGTTTTCTCCAGCTGCTCCAGTTTCCTGTTTTGCTAATTTTGGCTTTTTTTTTTAGCTGAATTCTTTCTTTTAGTTCTCACGTCTGCTTATTTTAACCTAATTCAGTAAAGATGTGTTCTTTCTGCTTTCTTCTGCTAAATTAAGCTTGTTCTTTAGTTTCAGCTACATTTCAGCTGTTTTTCAGCAAGTTCTTCTGCAACAAGCATTCATACGGTATTTCCACAGGAAATAAATTTTCTCTAGTTTATGCTGACATCATCACTTTAAGTCAACATGCAGTTTCAGTTTTAGCTACTGTAGCAACATTTAGTCACGTTCTGTCCTTCAGCTGTTCTGTCCTTCAGTTAGGGGGCGTAATCATAGTAAAGATGTTTGAAGGTCAAACGTCCGTATTAAAAACGTTAATTTCACACAATAAATGCTTCGTTACGTGGCAGCAGCGCCTCTTTTAGCAGAGCTGTGTTTTCTGGGCTCTTTGTTCCAAGAGTCTCTCCGACGCTGTAAAAGCCAGAGGTGAGTTATTGACCGTCGTCTCGCTGAGATCGGACAAACTAAAGGACTTTTTTCTCCTGACGATCGTCACCTCAGAGCAGCTTGAAGAGGACCGAGCTCTGCCAAGTGTAAGACGGACACGTGCTTATTAACACGGGGCTTGTTGAATCATGAAACGAACCTTTGCTGAATCCTTGAACCAGTTCTGTCTGTTGGTGTTTCTGCAGCAGCACTTCTCTCTGTTCCGTCTCTGTTTTTGAACTTGGTTTGGGTGAGGAGAGCAGGAGCCCCAGATGTTTGTCTTCTGTTGGCTCTTCTGCTCGTTCATGAGCAGCAGGAGAAGTATTGCTGATCTTCCTCACAGCATTCCAGGGTGACTGTGAGGTTTCAACTCGTCTCTCGGCCTTTAACTCTGAAACATTTTGTTTCTTTCCAAAACAAGACATCCCTTGGAGAAGAGGAGGAGGTCGTGGGCTGAGCAATGAATCAAATAAAAACGTGTGAATGAAGTCATGCGGAACACAAAACAGAAAATGTGCAGATATTGACTAAATGGGTTGTTTTCTGGTGGACGCTGTTTTTCTCAGGTAACACGTATTTTGTACTTTTTTATTATATGTATGGAGTAAAACTTCCTGTGAATGGAAATCGTGGAACTCAAAACAGAAAGAAAAGTGACGTCAACTAATCTGAGCCGTTTCCAGAAAACACTGAAACATAAAATCGTGATCTTCTTTCAGGTAAACTGGATTCATACGCCCCGAGAAGAGAATCTGCTCTCACTGACGAGACCAAAATCACGTCATTTCACTGCTTCAGCTGAAACTCTTCCATCTGTGTGATTCATTAGCTTCTAATTATTTTACCTATTTAACATTAGCTTCTTCTAAT